ATTCTGGAGGATAGTAGCTGAATCAATATCCCTTTGCTGAAGAAGTAAATGACTCCACCAAGCATAAGTTGAAAAAATGTATTTATAGAGATAAAACTTAAAATCATATGAAATATGAAAGACCAGGCGATACCACACTACCCTCTGGACCCCGAGTTATTATCCTGCTATATATGGGAGGGTGAAGGCTGCGTTATATTTTTTTCATTCTATTTGTCAAGATAACTCACCTTCATTTTAACTGCAGCCTAGACCACTGTAGCAGGCGTATATGTTATCAGCCGTTATAGGTGCTTTGGCAATATCCAAAGCATTTGCCATAACGGCATACTATTCTACACAGTTATTATACTGAGGCTGATAGTGTTCTCTAGTGCAGGTACTATCTACTTTTTTGTTTTCTGCACAACATACAGACAATTTCCATGCTCCTTTTATTTTTTGTGAAGCACTGTATAAAAAGACAATTCACATCATTCATGCTTGTTTCACTATTAACAAGCATTTCTGATGTGGGACTGACCATGGGTGTTTTGCTTTTTGTTTGGTAATTAAAATCTAGCCATAATTTATATCATATGTTTATGGCTATTCTGAATCACTGCAAAACTGCCTTTTGCAGATAGCATTCAGTGGAGGACACTGAAAACTTTTGAACAGTACCTCCTTATTGATTACGATTATGCTGAGTTACATCTCATGTATTTTGAGGCGTTATTATACAGCAGTGGAGGTTTAACCCTCTGATCGACTACCTGTACTTCTTGCTATTTCTTGCTTTGAGCTTTTCACCAGACTCTTGCGCATGCAAGCATACACTGTAGCCACTAAGTGTTAACTTTTGCTACTTTTGTGTCAACCTTCACTACAGAGATAAGTGTTACTATTAGCGCCTCACTTTGTGTTAAAGGACCACTATAGGCACCCAGACCACTTCAGCCTAATGAAGTGGTCTGGGTGCCAGGTCCAGCTAGGGTTAACCCTTTTTTTTTTTTATAAACATAGCAGTTTCAGAGAAACTGCTATGTTTATGTTAGGGTTAATCCAGCCTCCAGAGGCTGTCTCTTGACAGCCGCTAGAGGCGCTTGCGTGCTCTCACTGTGAAAATCACAGTGAGAAGACGCCAGCATCCATAGGAAAGCATTGAGAATGCTTTCCTATGACTGGCTGAATGCGCGCAGCTCCTGCCGTGCATGCATTCAGCCGAAGAGGAGAGGGGCGGAGAGCTCCCTGCCCGGCGCTGGAGAAAGAGGTAAGTTTAACCCCTTCCTCTCCCCAGAGCCCGGCGGGAGGGGGACCCTGAGGGTGGGGGCACCCTCAGGGCACTATAGTGCCAGGAAAACAAGTATGTTTTCCTGGCACTATAGTGGTCCTTTAAGTCCATCGGTGTTAGTTTACAACCAGAACCTTTACCTACTAGGCATATTAGACTTTGGTATATACATACATTGTTCACATTATCTATTTTTCAGCCTAGTGTAATATACTTTAAATTTTGGAGTATGTACTCACTCTTGGGTACCTATTTATCCATTTTAACTATACTATTAAAGGTTACATTTTAATCTCATTAGTGCACTCAGCTCTTTTCTCTCTTTCTTTTTTTACTACTTTGATAGTTTACTATGGGTTAACCCCTATATGAGTGCATTTCCTAAGCTTCCATTTTCACTATTTTTGCCCTCCAGATTCCTTACCTATTTTCCTTTCTCTCTTGCATATATTATGATTTTTATTTTATTTGCTTGTTTTTTTTCCTTTTACTTTTTTGCTGTTCCTTAATTAAAAACACATTGAAAACTTGATTCAAAAAAAGATAAGCAAGACTTCAAAGCCAACACTCAGATAGCAAGGACAATGGGTGTATGGAATAGGAAGAGATAAGTAGCAGTGGCAAGGGGCAACTGACTTGCGGTTAACGCTTGTAATGGGAACCTGCAGTCTCTCTGCAATGTCTTCTGCTGTCTCATTTTCACTTGAGATGAAGCCCACACTCCGTGCAATGGCTTTTGCTGTAATTGGATGGTCTCCAGTCACCATAATAACCTAGAGTAAAAAGTAACATGTCATCAACCTCTAAGCAGGGTGCATCAATGTTAATCTCCTATACCTCCTCATTCCCTTTACATGTTATCATTTACAGTAATTATACAATTAATTCTCTCAGCCATCACCT